AACAAAGGAGCAAACCATTCAGAAGGAACTTTCAGAAAAGACTTGACAGTCTGTTGAAAGAGGAAAGTGTAAGAAAGAACCTCAAAATAACCCTGCTTGATATTGTTTGGTATAAGTTAGGACAGAGGGACATCCTTTCAAGAATCTGTCCTTCTACCTTTCCAAAATAAAAAACATTTTTGGGATACCTGAAGGGTTGATTTTATTGGTTATGAGGTTTTATTGTGTAACTTATATTATGGCTTTTACAGCCAGCACTTGTAAGAATAAATCTAACTTTGAAATATTTATTTATTGTATATATTCTACTTAGAGTCATATCTGATTCTCAGGGGCAGTGCTCATCTCTATTTCTTAGCCAAGGGAACCAGCATTATCTGAAGAGTTTTCTGTGGTCATGAGGCCAGCATGGTTATGTGCTGAGGCACATGGAACACTGTTACCTTCCCACCAAAGTATTTATTTACTCGCATTTGCATGCTTTCGAGTTGCTTGGTGGGCAGGAGCTAGGACAAGTAATGGGAGCTCACCCCATTGTGTGGCACTCAGATCTCGAACTTGGTCTGTCAGCAATTTTGCTGACAAGTTTGGCCTGTTTAACCTCTGAGCCATCACACCCACTGATATATATCCCTTTTAAATATACTTGAGGCATTAGTTTCACATTTAATTAACCAAGTGAAATAGATAGAATGCAAACTTTTGATAGTGAATCAGCGATAGCCTTGACATTTCATCTTCTACTTGCTCACTGATAAGAGTTTCTGATTTTTCTCACAAGATCTGAGATACATAAAAGGTTACTTTGATTTTTGAAGCATGAATTATGCCAAGTATGTACACTGTTAAATTGGCAAAAACAAATTCAAACAAAAAATACTATACATGGACACCAGTTCCCCAGAAATGGTCAATATCAATATCAAGTACCAGTAATAGGGTAACACAGGTCTATTGTATAATATCTAAATGCTTCTGTAGTTTTTTAAAGAAACTAACTTCTTGGTTCCAACTTAATTCATCAAGACCTCTTTAACTTCGGAGAATATGGGAGTTTGACACAATGATTTAAACATGCAATGTATGTTTAGGAAATTATCTTTGCAAATTGACTTCTAATTGATGAATAAGTATATTTTTCACACTTCTGAATTACTTTGTATGCAGTCTTATAGAAAATATGTGTACATAATACATTAAAATATCTAATGTGTTGAGTTTCAATTTTAATCACTGCAGTTTTAATCACTTCAATGTAATCCATATATATTTAAAGTTTGAAAATAGTTTCATACTTGTTAGAATGTTTATAGATTATCAACAAAATTACCAGTAGTTGAGGGAGCTATAAAATCCTGCATTAAGTTCTCCAAATTGTTAGCCCAAGTCATAAGCTAGCACTACATAACTTTATACATAACTCTTATTCCTGTGCAGCTGAGCATGAAATGCTGCACACTCTACACATTGCAAAGTAGATGTTTTGTTCAGTGTTTTTGCTTGTAAAAGAAATGCAATCTTCAAAAACAATAGATGAAATAATTCTAGTAGCCTTGGGCAATAGTGGCAGAGAAGAATAAATGGACTTTGTAACAGGACTTTCCCTTTCATCCAAATTCTATAATAAATTCTGTGGAGCACATTCATCTGGGAACAGAGCTTTGAATCTATCAAGATAATTTTGTTTATCCACATATCATATATCAACAAATAAGCCTTCTTTCCAGAATATTCTTCAAAGGAATGGAAAAGGCCATTACTTTGTTTGGTTTCACAGAAATGAAATATACATTCTAATTCCTATTTGAGTGGAATGTATTTCTCTTTGTTGAGATTAGGTTTCTTAACGGAAAAAGTATTCTGTTGTTTGATTAAAAAGCCCAGGTTGTTATTAGTGAGCTGGAAGCAATTACAGGATCTCTGGGAAGCTTTAATCAAGTCTTGTGTGCTGATTGAGATGTAATGTGCAGAAGTAGGAAAACTTAATAACAAAGTAAAATTCTATAAGTACTTTCCATTCCCATATCTCATCAGCATATATTATATAATTAAAAAGCCAATACACAACATGGTATATGAATGCTTTAGTCAATCTGTAAATATCTTAATAATGTAAGTATGTTTTGTGCATTAGTAATTTATATATTAATTAATGTTTACAGTAATGTTTTACTTGTACATAATTAACTAATCTGTCTTGGCTTTGTATTTTTTTTTATATTTGCCACTTTTTTCTTAATATTTTGGTAGTCTGCATTTATTTCTTGCATTTTAAAAGACATTAGAAACATAGTCTAAACTTAACACATTTTTTAAATTTCTAGGAAACCCTGGAAATACTAAATTATGTGAAGCAATTTATGGTTTCTTTTTTGTCACAGTTATTGTGGAAAGGTTTACACATTCTGCTGAGCTAAAATTGAATTATGCCTCTATCTTTTCAATTAAAACAAGAAGTAACCATCTTTATCATAAGAAAAATGCCAAAATCCATATCAGGATAGTAAAACTTTGTCTAGCAAACTCAAAGATCACAAACCCAATACCCTAAAAACTGGAGGTCAAAAATTGTAGCCAACTTTTTCCAGTGATTTAATTTATTATCTCAACTAATACATGATCTGTCCTGCACATTGGCAAAAAAAAATCAGAACATCAAATACAAGTTGGGCAGTAATGATCTTGTAGACAACCCTCACTCTGTCAAGGACCTAGGAAGACTCATCTCAAATTATCTAAGTCCCAGAGCTCACTGTAACAGCATTGCCAAAAAGGCATTAAGAGTTGTTAACCTAATCTTGCAAAGCTTCTTCTCCCGTAACATTGTAAATAGGGCATACAAAACCTTTGCCAGACCAAGTCTTGAATATAGCTCATCCACTTAGAGTCCACACTGTATATTGGACATTAACACGATTGAGTGGGTTCCACGAGAAGAGTTCTCCACTCCTCTACTCACAATAGAATCCCTTATGCCACCAGGCTTGAAATTCTGGGCTTGGACAATCTGGAACTGTGCCGCCTGTAGTCCGATCTAAGGGTAGTACATAAAATTGTGTGCTACAACATTTTACCTGTCAATAACTTCTTCAGCTTCAACCACAATAATACATGGGGGAACAATTGATACAAACTCAAGGTAAACTGCTTCAAACTCAATTGCAGAACATACTTCAGCAACAGAGTGCTCAATGCCTGGAATGTTCTATCTGCCTCCATTGTTACAGCCTCAAACCCTTACAGCTTCAACCTGAAACTGTCTACCATGGACCGCATTCCTAAGTGATTCGTAAAAAAGTTGTGCATAAACACACTAGCATGCCTACCATCCATGTCTTATTGTCCCCATTTATCTGTACTTACTTCCTTTGTTTATGTCTATACCTATGCCTGCTCTCTTGTACATGTTTGACAAACAAGTAAATAAAATATTACAGCCATATTTCCTTTGACTGTCTCCCCTTCCTCCCAAAAGGACTTTTTAAATGAGTAAGATTCTGAGATGCAGAGAACTTCGTGGCTAGATGGTAAATAAAGTCAGGGAGAAAAAAAATCAGCATTATAGAGTTAATATCTTGTATGCTATTTTGTGACTTTTGGAAAGGAATATTCTAAGACATTTTCTGCTTGTTGACTATGGTGATTCCCAGTCATCCAAGTCATGGTTGTCCCAAGGGTGCCTTTTCAAGAGGCAACTGGACTGTCTGGTTTTTCTTTGAAAACGTTTCCTTTCTCATGCAAGAAACTTCATCAGCTCTGACTGAATGATGGGGAATGGAAGGATTTATACTCCTTTCAGACAGCTGGTCATTTGCATTCTTTTAGAGAATCTTTGAGGCCACCTAGAGGTTTATCTGTGTTATCAGGGTCACCCAAGTAGTGCAAATGGGTGTGGAGCCTTCTTGGAATTATTGAAAGGACTGTGTTGTAGACTGGAAATACATGGTGTTATATCCCTCCCTTCTGTTGAAAGAGAGCTGTTCAATTCAAATTCAAAATTGCATTATTCTATACATTTGCATTATTTTTGCCATTGTTTTCACTGCAACCACATAGAATTTGGTTACTGACTTGGTGATAGCATGGGTGGAATCTTAAAATATGAAGATTGGGATAATAGATACTCTTCAGTCCATCCTGGAAGATGTTTCAGCAGGATATTGTATAATAAGTGCAAATATGTAAAAATTGCCGTAAAACAATACATGTTGGATGATTTCTGTTTTTCCAGAGTTATATGTATAAGCTGTATATAATATGTAACTTAATCTTTCATTTTAAGCTGTTATGCATTGTTTGAAATAGTTCACAGACAGAATATTAAACAGATATCTTTCTGAGTTTCAGAAGTATTGATTTAATATAGTCACTATATAGGCATCTTTTTTTTTGCTAGTGCTAATCTAAATAACATACTTGGCACTAATAAGATGATGATAATTGGCACTGGTTAAAATAGGCAATAATGCAGACATATATTGATTGTTACCTTGCGGATTTAGAACTGCAAATCCAAGTGCTAAATACAATATAATAGAATTATTAGCTGTATTCAAGGCAGTTGTAATTGTACTTTCAATTACAAACACTAGAAGAGCCAATTTCACAAATCTTGTTTCTGATATAAAAGCCATTTTAAAATAGCAAGCCGAAGTATTTTACTAATTGTTATTTGGTTAGAAGAATACACCTGCTATTTTAAAATCCATTTTGGAAATTACTTATTGGAGGTCTTCAAAATGAATTAAATATGGCATTCTGAAGCACTGACATTTCTTTTTTTTAAAAAAAAGTTTTTTATTTTATATAAACAATAAACAGTGTGTCATCTGGGTACAAATATCTTGTGCAATAACAATTACAATTAATACATATTAATTACTATAGTATTAATACTCTATTCTTACTTTATACTACTATGCATAATATATCTAATTATTATGACAATCCCAATCTTAGCATATTTAATTCTTATGAAACACTGACATTTGTTTTTACAGATTCAGTAACAACAGCTTCTGGGCCATTGCTTGTAGAAGTTGCCAAAACTGCTGGTTCTGCTCTGGGTGTTGCACTATCTACCTCAATGTGTTGCAGCAAGCAAGTCATTGTTATAGATAAAATAAAATCTGCAAGTATAGCAGATAGGTGAGTTGTAGTACACCCTGTTATGTCATTCATCTGCATACAAATCATATGGAACATAATCTGGCACTCAGAAGAACAATTCACACACTAAGAGTATGGATAGCAGAACCATCAGAATGAACTAAATTGTAGACAGATCATGTTTGTAAACTCAAAACTTCAGAACCAAAAATGCTTTCCCTCAGTAAAGTTGTCCCTTCCCAAATATCTGCTAAATCTTTAATGCTACATTTCATTGGTGGTATTCAGCTGATTCGCACTAGTTCGGGCGAACCAGTAGCAAGGATTTGGCATGAGTCACCAAACCAGTAAGTAACTTCTGACTGGCCATGCCCCCGACCTGGTTGCCCAGTTTCTGCTCACTGGCCACGCCCGCCTGATGCTCGCTCATCCCACCCGCCTGACACCAGCCCACCCAGTCACTCCTTAACATATTTCTTTTTTTCCCCTCCCAACAATCAGCTGTTCCTACGATCAGTTGTGCCGGGATTCCCCTCGCTTACTTACTGCTTTGCCCAGGAGGCTTCCCTGAGGCCCAGGAAGGCAAAAAAACCCCTCCATCTCCCCTCCATTTTTTGCCTTCCTGGGCTCCAGGGAGGCCCCAAAATGAAGCATGGGGGGGTGCTGCGTGTTCCCCCAGGCTCAGTTTTCTGCCTTCCTGAGCCCCAGGGAAGCCTTCTGGGAGCAAAAACGCCCCCCAGGAGGCTTCCCTGAGGCCCAGAAGTCCCAAAAAACCAGGGGGGGACTGCAAAAAGCAAAAAAGCCACACCCACCTAGTTACATGGCCACACCCCTAGCCACACCCACAGAACCGGTAGTAAAAAAAATTGAATCCCACCACTGCTACATTTCCTTCAAAAAATTCTTCCCACTATTTAGTTGAGTTCAATTTACACTTCTTTCAATCTATGCAATTCTTTGGTGACTCTGGACTCTGCAGAATTCTGGGAATTATAGGCAGGTTAGCTACTTGCCTGTTCTAGACTTGCAGAAATGGTAACCAAAATTATTATTTTTTTCTAAGCACATTGAAGAAAAGCCTCATCAAATAAAAATAAGCAAGGATTCCATATAGGTAATCCTGCCATATCAATCTTATAATCAAATAAAGAAAAATTCTGGAAGAAATAACTGTAAAACCAATGAATGATATACTTCAAAATAATAGTGGACTGTTTTGAAATGTTTTCTTTTTTTCCATAGATGTGGTGCATTACATATAGGTGATCATATTCTGTCTATTGATGGTACTAGCATGGAATACTGTACTTTGGCTGAAGCAACACAATTTTTGGCTAATACGTCTGACAATGTCAAACTAGAAATCCTTCCCCATCATCAGACACGTCTTGCACTTAAAGGACCAGAACATGGTAGGATGATTGTATTTCTATTATGTTTATGGAATTATTTTCACTTAGCTAGAAACACTATTTGAGTTCATTGGAACTAGCTTGAAATAAATGTTCATCACATGAATAGAATTTAATACTGAAGTGAAATTAGTTGGGAAAGTGCCTTTACTTATCTGAGAGAGGTTCTGAAGACTGAAGATTTGCATATAATTTTATTTTTATTGGTATCCATCATCAACAATAAAACTCTGTGCTGTTTTAGCTACTTTATTGTTGCTATGTTCAACAAGGTAGTTCTGTACGTACTGAATATTCCTCTGAATATAACTTTGGAATCATTTTGAGCCAATATAAGACTGGCTAATATTTAGGACTTGGTTAATAGGACTTCAATTGATAGGAAGTAGCTAAAATTAAATTTGCTCAAACAAAATTTCATGCTACTGTGTTAGTAGCAAGAGTATTGCTTAGCTATCCAAGGTGGATTAAGAGAATTAATGACATCTTGACCAAAGCAGTGTTATGTTATGTTATCTTAATTAATAAATCAAAAGATTTAGGGTGGAGTGAAATGCAAGTTAGGGTGGTAATTATAACTAATTACTGTCAGTAAACAGGCACTAACAGGCAAAAAGAAAAGAAATATCACATGAAAGGAATACTTCTTGCTCTTGTATTTCTCACAAAAGACATATCTTGATATTACAATAGGACTGGAGAATAAAGTAATAACTTTGGTTTTAAGAAAAAGTCAATTGTACAGTAACTATTTTTTTTAATTATATCTAAGAGTCGAGATAATAGAAAAGGGTTATGAGGAAACTTCTTCAGTCCCAGAATCCTTTGTGCACAACTTTCAGATTTTGGTATAATTTCTACATTCCTATTTGTGGTGCTTTCCTGGAAAGATCAGTGTTCATAATCATAAAAGGAACTTTCACAAGTAGAAAAGGTTCTTTGCTACAAAATGTATCCTGAAACAGGGAAGCATATGCTGTATTTTATGGGCTAGGCATAATCTAGTTCAGTGTGAAATGCATGAATAGAGATGGTGTCTCTTTTCATTGAGAAAGTGCTCAATCATTGTCTTTCCTGGATGATTAAATCTGCCAAGGTTTCACTGGACAAGAGAATTGATCAGTCCCTCTCTGAGTGTGTATCGGTTGCCATCTGCTTAAGAAGGCAATTATAAGATTGTTAACTGCAAAAATCCTTTGATTTGGAAGATCTCTGTCATTATAAGTCATACTCAAGCATTCTGCTCCATGGGTAGAGTGGTTGAGAAAGTAGTAATCTTACAGCCCCATAGGATTTAGATAAAATTAATTATCTGCACCCATTTCAGTCAGCATTTCATTTGAGGTGTACCAAGAGTGATTCAGTTGTGCTGGTGGATGTCTGTTTCAGAAGCTAAAAATGGGGAGCTCTCATATTCTTAAGGGCTTTTGATGCTATTGTCCATGGTACTGAGGACGATCTAGTGGTAAGGTTAGGTAACTTTTGTGATACCCAGGTTGTTAATCTCAGTTATCTCATAGTGATAGGTTCTACCTTGTTGCCTATACTGTTTAATGTATATGTGAAACTGTTGAGGAAAGGATGCAGAGCTTTGGAGTGGAATATCAGAATGCTAATGATAGCTACTCTGCTGTTTTGTATAATCCAGTTCCCAGGGCTTAATCAACACCTTTAAACATTACCTGATTTTGATAATAGTCTTGATGAAGGACAGAAGGCTGAAATTAATTTCAGATAAGGCAAAGACACTACTGATCAAAAGAAATTTGAACTCAGGAACTGAGATAAAATTTGTTTTGGTTGGGGTGTTTTCCCCCCAAAGAGCAGTTGTATACTTTGAGATTACATCGTGGTCCCTAGCTGTCACTGGATTTCAGGAAAAAAGTGGAGTAAGAGCACAATTGCACAAGTATGGACAGTACATAAAACCGTAACCTGAGCCACCCAAATGTATTGATAGATATACACACTTTTACTGCAATCTCTCTTGATACTGAAACATGCATTATTTGGGGGTAAAATGCTTTTGGTGCAGAATGTGATGGCCAATCTGTTACCTGGTGCAAGGTACTAGATTCAGGATACAGGCTTCAGTCCTGTATTGAAAGATAATGAAAGCCAGTTGCCTACTAAGAACAAATGAAGATGCTGGGGTTCATGTTTAAAGCCCTGACAATTTACAGCTTGACTCTCTGAGAGGCAACCTATCCCAGTACTGTAGGAACCCACCTGGTCATAATCAACAGGAGAAACTTTTTTCAAGATACATTGTCGGAGGTTCACCTATTTGATATGTGGGAGATCTTCTCCTACGAGGCTCCCATCCTGTATTATGTACTCCCCAGAAAGGAACTTTTGATCCTACTCCTCAAAATTAGAACAAGAAAAACGTATTTTTTTCAAGCTTATAATTGTTAATATCATTGTTACTGATTTTTATTTTGACTTTTTGTATATTTTATTTTATTCTAATCTATTTTAAGTATCTGTACAAAAGAAATATAAATTTAATAATAAATAAAGGATTGTATTCTTTCCAAATTACTGGTGAATAAGAACGTGTTCTGTTCAGTGTTAAAAATTTAACACTATTTAACCCAGGAGAAAAATATACAAATATGATTGATAAAAGAATCCAAGAGGAAACTTCCTTTCAGTCCTTATTGAATAAGCAAGGAGAAATTTGAAGCCTATTTTATGTTTTTTTCCATGTTTTGTGTCAGTATATAATAATTTAACATCTTCACAATGCAATTGTCAGGATTCCGGGAGTTACTCCAATTAAATCACGAGCCCCGAGCCACACTCCCAAAACTAAAAAAGATTTATTTGAAGGTAACATTCTACATCCGGCATTTACCTGGGCATAGCATTTTGTATACATGTTTTATAGATGACAGCAATGTAAGAATAATTGAAAATTCTCATAGATTTTAAAGAATGTATATTTAATAAATTTAGGATTACTTTACCTCCCTTTTACCTTTTGATGGATGGAGGGGAGTGGGGAATCCTTAAGGTAAATTTGATTCTGAAGTGACCATTACAAAGAATAGCATTTGTTTCCTTTCTTGCATTTGGGATGAAATATAGTCTGAAGAAATTCAGAGCAATAAATTATGACTTTGAATTTCTGTTTTTTCTTTTAATAATTCTCCAACATTGAATTTTTGTTTTGATGTTTAAGAGATAGAATTCATTTCCCTGAATAATATAACACCAGTGATAAATGCTGGTAAAATTAAAATGTCAAAGTAATAAATTGAAATGACTGACATGTAAACAACTCTAAATTACTATGAAAAATATAGAGCCTCTTGGGTTTTATTTTTGTTTTTTTAATATATACACATTCATTTCAAGGGGGGGATATTTTCTAAATTTAATTACTAATTGTACCTTATTTATGATGATAATGTTGGATTAAATGTCTTCTTGAAAGGGTTTAATAAAGGTAAAGCTAAAGACAGGGGCAGATTAAAAATTGATTGAAGATGTTCAGAATTTTTTTGAAGTCTCAAACTCATCAGTGTTGGCATTGTGGAAGGCTGTGGCATACATTCTAGGATTTGCTTATCACCAGAAAAAGGAAGATGGTAGGAACAGGATATTTTTCCAATTACAGGTGAAACTCGAAAAATTAGAATATCGTGCAAAAGTTCATTTATTTCAGTAATGCAACTTAAAAGGTGAACCTAATATATGAGATAGACTCATTACATGCAAAGCAAGATAGTTCAAGCCGTGATGTGTCATAATTGAGATGATTATGGCTTACAGCTCATGAAAACCCCAAATCCACAATCTCAGAAAATTAGAATATTGTGAAAAGGTTCAATATTCTAGACTCAAAGTGTCCCACTCTAATCAGCTAATTAAGCCATAACACCTGCAAAGGGTTCCTAAGCCTTCTCTCAGTCTGGTTCAGTAGGAAGCACAATCATGGGAAAGACTGCTGACCTGTCAGTTGTTCAGAAAACTAGCATTGATACCCTCCATAAGGAGGGAAAGCCTCAAAAGGTAATTGCAAAAGAAGTTGGATGTTCCCAAAGTGCTGTATCAAAGCACATTAATAGAAAGTTATGTGGAACGGAAAAGTGTGGAAGAAAAAGGTGCCCAAGCAGCAGGGATGACCACAGCCTGGAGAAGATTGTCAGGAAAAGGCCATTCAAAAGTGCTGGGGACTTTCACAAGGAGTGGACTAAGGCTGGAGTCAGTGCATCAAGAGCCACTACACACAGACGGATCCTGAACATGGGCTTCAAATGTCACATTCCTCTTGTCAAGCCACATCTGAACAACAAACGTCAGAAGCGTCTTACCTGGGCTAAAGAAATACAGAACTGATCTGTTGCTTCTGATGAGAGAAATGTTTGCATCTCATTTGGAAACCAAGGACCCAGAGTCTGGAGGAAGAATGGAGAGGCACACACTGCAAGATGCTTGAAGTCCAGTGTGAAGTTTCCAAAGTCTGTGTTGATTTGGGGAGCCATGTCATCTGCTGGAATTGATCCACTGTGCTTCATTAAGTCCAGAGTCAATGCAGTCGTCTACCAGGAGATTTTGGAGCACTTCATGCTTCCTTCCACAGATGAGCTTTATGGGGATGCTGACTTCATTTTCCAGCAGGACTTGGCATCTGCCCACACTGCCAAAAGCACCAAAACCTGGTTCAATGACCGTGGGATTAGTGCTTCACTGGCCAGCAAACTCACCTGACCTGAACCCCATAGAGAATCTATGGGGCATTGCCAAGAGAAAGATGAGAGAATTGAGACTGAACAATGCAGAAGAGCTGAAGACTGCTATTGAAGCATCCTGGTCTTCCATAACACCTCAGCAGTGCCACAGGCTGATAGCTTCCATGCCACGCTGCGTTGAGGTAGTAATTGCTGCAAAAGGGGTCCAAACCAAGTACTGAGTCTATGCACGCTTATACTTTTCAGAGATCCAATATTGTTCTATGTATAATCCTTGTTTTATTGATTGCATGTAATATTCTAATTTTCTGAGATTGTGGATTTGGGGTTTTCATGAGCTGTAAGCCATAATCATCTCAATTATGACAAATCATAGCTTGAACTATCTTGCTTTGCATGTAATGATTCTATCTCATATATTAGTTTCACCTTTTAAGTTGCATTACTGAAATAAATGAACTTTTGCACGATATTCTAATTTTTCGAGTTTCACCTGTACTTTCATTTTCCTTTTTAATATATTTATATTACCCAATTATTTTTCCCATTTACAAATTTTCTGATTTCTTTTCTTTTCATTTTTTAATATGTACTTTTTTTCATTCCTTCATGTGGTCAGTAAAGGTTCAAAGGAGCAACAAGCAGATTCTATGGGATCCTTATGCCAAGAGCCACAGCAGTGCCCTCAGTTACCACCATTATAACACCAAACACCCTGATCATTTCAGGATGCCAGCTTTGAAATGCCAGAAAACACCACCTCAAAACAGTCTTTGTAATGTTCCATACTTTTTCCTTCAGACATCTGTTATTGTTGTGTTATTGTTGTTTTCCTAATAATATCCTGTTTCTCATATTCTTTTCCTATTTCTGGCTTTAAAACCTTTTGGATTTATAGGGTCTCAGTGTTTGTCACAAGCACGTTCAGGTTATTTCTGACATAGATCTTTTCCTGCTTTAATTCTACATTTTCATAAAGAATGAAAATGTTTGAAAACTACAGAGGTTCCAGTTTTCCTAAACACATTGATGTACAGTTAAGTACTTTTTCAAGGAAATACTCTTAAATGCAAAATCTATGTCCGAAATTATCTCTTTCAAATGCTAGATTTGAAAATGTGATTTCTAATCACATCGGTATGTATTATTTCATATAATTGTGTTTCGAAATGGTTGAAGTAATTGTGAGAATAATTGCCTGTTTATTTAAGAAAAACAAAGTTATGCTCTTGTTCAAGTAAGAGATTTTTTTAAATACCATATTTTGGGGTGTATAAGATGCACTCCCCCACAAAAAAAAGTGGGTGGAAATGTCTGCGTTTTATACAGAGAATGTTGCTGAAGCCCTGCCCACCCACCGGCCCCTTCAGCCTCTGCCTCCCAGCAATTTGCCTCCTTGCAGCAAACAGCTGGTCAGCTTCAACAGAGCCTGATTATCACAAGCAGTTGTTTGTCAGTTGGATCTGCCTCCTGATGAGCAGCTGTTTCAGGCTGCAGGGATTGCCCACTGCTGCCTGCACGCACCCTGTTTTCAGCCTCTGCATCCTGTATTTTGCCTCCGCATGCCCCATTTTTGGCCCATTACGATCTCCATCACCAGGAACAGGCCAAAAATGGGACGTGGAGGCCAAAAACGGGGCATGTGGAAGTGAAAAATGGGATGCAGAGGCCGAAAATGGGGCATGTAGAGGCAGCAATAGACGATGGCAATCCCTGCAGCCTGAAACAGCTGATCATCAGGAGGCCGATCCAACCAACAATCAGCTGCTTGGGTTAATCAGGCTGTGCTGAAGCTGTCCAGGCTGTTTGCTGTTTGCTGCAAGAAGGCAAATTGCTGGGAGGCAGAGCCAGATTTGTTTTTCTTGTTTTCCTCCCCCAAAACTAGGCGTGTCTTACACTTCGGAGCATCTTATAGTCTGAAAAATATAGTAGTAGACTTCACCCTAAAAATTGTGATTTGATGCCTAGATTTCATTAAATTTCTGATTTGGTTAGTGGAAACCTATAAACTTTAGGCAATGTCCAGCTTATAACAGACAGTTACAAACACCAATTCTAGTATGCTTTGCACCAAATGTGCCCTTCTCTTTCAACAGCCTTGGTATCTTCATCATTTTCTCCTGCCTCCATGAGTGCATACAGCTTGAGTTCACTAAACATGGGAACTTTACCGCGAAGCCTCTACTCTACTAGTCCAAGAGGAACATTGATGAGAAGAAGAATGAAAAAGAAGGACTTCAAAAGCTCACGTAGGTGATCACAAAGATTATTTGTTTTAGATCAGAGTTATGAGTCACATCTATATCTATACTGTATTCTACACTGTAAATAAGATTTATTTGGAATTGTAAATAAATGAATTATTTTATGTCTACATGATTGTTCAACTGCTTCCAATTCTTTGCATACTAACGGACAGTAGATAGACAGGATTCTTTGTCAGTAAAATCTTCTTTGAGGTCTTGTGAACTCATGTTTATGGATTTGGAAATCTGCAAGGAGCCTCAAGAAGCAGTCTCATAACAATCAGCAATTAAAGAGGCAATCTTGCAGCAATCAATCTTCATGAAAGAATATCTTCTGGTACTTTTTTATTGTTGCTTTTTTGGTTTATGAGTTTCTCTCCTTAACTAAACATATAAAAATCGTAGTCATTTTTATCTGCTAAGTAGAAGCTTGACAATTTCTCTTATAGAAACTTGTAGCCTTGTATAATTATTTATAAATCTGTTATTCTGATTACACTTGGTGGGTTGTATCCATCCATCTAATTGTGTCCAAAATGGACAAGTACTGGTCTGCAGTCGAACCAGGCCATGCAAGTGAGCGAAGCTTTATCTGCATGGCCTGTATGGGATCTAGATAGCACGCAAAACCACATACTCCCAGTCCATGGAATAATTGTTTTCTACGGAACTGGTCCCAGGTGCTCAAAAGGTTATTACTGTTTTAAAAGGTTGAAATAGTTGCTGAACAAATTTTGAGTAGAATGGCCAGGGTAGAGAAGCATAAAAAAGTTTCCCTGCATGAGAAAAAAAAATAACTTTTGTGTCAGAGCATGTAACCCAATATTATTATTTTCACAAATATCTACTATACACAGCTTTCCTTCTGTACTGTAGTCAGACTTTTTTGTAATAAATATTTATAAACAGGACACTTAAAATACAAAATTTAATACAGCTATCTTTTTAAAGAGATCTAGGATATATTTGACTGAAGGATGTATACAGTTTGCATTACCCTTTGTATTAAAATAGTATTACAAGCCTGTTAATAAAACATGTCAGTCACATGGCTGGGACCTTCTAGAAGTCGAGTATTTAAGGACCAGAAAATTGACTGGAGTAAAGACAGCTAATTCTCTGATTCTGTAACTGAAATAATGATCTACAGGGTTTTAGATCATCTCTTTTAGATCATCTCTTGCTAGGTTTAGCTAAATACTACTGTATGTTGATTCTGATTTTTAAGTATTCTAACTGAAAATGGTGACACTTGACGTTTTATTACAGTTTTTAAGGTAGTATTTGTATCAGAAAATGAATTCATTTGCTATCATTTTGAATGTCTTTGTTTCTGTTTGATATATTTTACAGTGTCACTAGCCTCTAGCACTGTTGGCTTGGCAGGGCAAGTTGTCCACACGGAAACCACCGAAGTAGTGTTGACAGCTGATCCAATTGTAGGATTTGGAATACAACTTCAGGGCAGTGTGTTTGCTACAGAGACATTATCATCCCCACCTCTGATTTCCTATATAGAAGCTGACAGTCCAGCAGAAAAGTGAGTTTCTTTGAAATGATTGGTAAAGTTATTAGCCCTATTTATTGCTTAGAACAACTTGGATCACTTGCAGTAGCTATTTTCGTGATTCAGATAATTTCTCAGGATTGTTCACTAAAAATGTGAGACATACTGTGTTTCCTATTTTGATTTCAAAAGGTTTTTTTTTAATGATCAGAGATGAGAAAAATAACAATTGCACTTTGTGTTATCTAGATGATGACCTTTGATGGACAATTGGACTTAAGATAATTAGATAAGTTTTTCCTAATGGAATATGTGAAGCTTAATTAAAAACTTACTATTTTAGTTTAGCAGGAAAGTATAAGGACCCGTAGAATGCAGTATTGCAGGCTAACTTTGCTCATTGCCAGGAATTTGATCCTAACTGGCTCATGGTTGACTCAGCCTTCCATCCTTCCAAAGTTGGTAAAATGAGGACTCAGATTGTTGGGGAGAATATGCTAATGTTGTCAGAGAGTGCTGTAAATCACTCTGCAGCAGTATATAAATAGTGCTATTGCTATTTCCTGGTTCAGTTATAACTGATATATGATACTTTTATGTTGTAAGCAGCTTTGAAACAAGATGAGTGGCAAATAAATTTAAATAATAATAAGTTGAACAACTATGGAGGAAGAAATCAATGATTGTACCAATAGTCATAGGAGCCCTTGGATCAATACCCAAAGGACTGCCTAGATACAGAGAAATTTTAAAATTCCTGATTTTGCAAAAACCCACTGTACTTGGAGCTACCTATATACTCAGACTCTACTTTAATAGTTCTCAGGTTTTTGATTAGGACTTGGTTAAGTTTTTACCAGTCCCAGACTGTGAATTGAATTGAAGATTAAAATAATAATAATAATAATAATAATAATAATAATAATAATAATAATAATAATAA